CATTGAATCCCTTCAGAACCATTGGGATCCCTTCGGAATCATTGAATCCCTTCGGAACCATTGAATCCCTTCAGAACCATTGAGATCCCTTAGGAATGACTGGAATCCCTTTGGAACTACTGTGATCCCTTAGGAATGACTGGAATCCCTTCAGAACCATCGGATCTCTTCAGAACCATCAAATCCCTTCAGAACCATTGAGATCCCTTAGGAATGACTGGAATCCCTTCAGAACCATCGGGATCCCTTCAGAGCCATTGAATCCCTTCAGAACCATTGGGATCCCTTCAGAACCATTGAGATCCCTTAGGAATGACTGGAATCCCTTCAGAACCATCGAATCTCTTCAGAACCATCGGGATCTCTTCGGAATCATTGAATCCCTTCAGAACCATTGAGATCCCTTAGGAATGACTGGAATCCCTTCAGAACCATTGGGATCCCTTCAGAACCATTGAGATCCCTTAGGAATGACTGGAATCCCTTCAGAACCATCGAATCTCTTCCGAACCATCTCCACCCCCCCCCCCCCCATCATCCCCCCATCCTCAAGAATTCCCCGGATACCCCCCCCACCCCCCCCCCATTCCCCCTCTTTCTCCCCCCCTCTTCCCATCGCCGTGCGTCCGCTGGTGCCTCTTGTGATGGGAGCTGCGGCTGAAGCGCTTGCCGCACTCGCCGCAGCCGTAGGGCCGCTCGCCCGTGTGGATGCGCCGGTGCTGAGTGAGCGTGGACTTGTCGGTGAAGCGCTTGCCGCAGTCGCCGCAGCCGTAGGGCCGCTCGCCCGTGTGGATGCGCTGGTGCCGCAGGAGGTTGGAGCTCACGTTGAAGCGCTTGCCGCACTGCCCGCAGCCATACGGCCGCTCGCCCGTGTGGATGCGAACGTGCTTGGCCAGGTCCGAGCTCTGGCTGAAGCTCTGCCAGCACTCCACGCACGTGTTGGCGACGCCGTCGGCGCTCCCCATCGTTGGCTTCATCTTCCTCTTCTTGACGATGCCAACTGGATCCCCTTCGACGCTCCCCATCGTCTTCCTCTTCTTGACGATGCCAACTGGATCCTCTTCGACGCTCCCCATCGTCTTCATCTTCTTGGCGATGCCAACTGGATCTCCTTCAACACTTCCCATCGTCTTCATCTTCTTGGCGATGCCAACTGGATCCCCTTCAACGCTCCCCATCATCTTCCTCTTCTTGATGATGCCAACTGGATCCCCTTCAACGCTCCCCATCGTTGTCTTCCTCATCTTGACGATGCCAACTGGATCCTCTTCAACGCTCCCCATCGTCTTCATCTTCTTGACGATGGCGCTTGGATCCTCTTCAACGCTCCCCATTGTCTTCATCTTCTTGACGATGCCAACTGGATCCTCTTCGACGCCCCCCATTGTCTTCCTCTTCCCGACGATGCCGCCTGGATCCTGGTGCTTCCGCATGGATGCCGAAGGCGCCGCGCGCTCCCCGCGGGGCCGGAACGGGCGCCCGCAGTCGATGCAGGTGAAGGCAACGGGGACGGCGCCGGCGCCTTCAATGGCGACAATGGGAACGCGCTTCAGGCAGCGAGCCCGGAGACGACGATCCCCAACACGTTCCCAACCCATTCCCAGCACTCCCAACACGTTCCCGACCCATTCCCATCATTCCCAACCCATTCCCATCATTGCCATCCCATTCCCGTCATTCCCGACCCATTCCCATCCCATTCCCGTCATTCCCAACCCATTCCCATCCCATTCCCAACCCATTCCCATCATTCCCGACCCATTCCTGACCCATTCCCATCCCATTCCTGACCCATTCCCGTCATTCCCCACCTACTCCCGTCATTCCCAACCCATTCCCATCCCCTTCCCACCACTCCCAACCCATTCCTGGCCCATTCCCATCATTCCCGACCCATTCCTGTCATTCCCAACCCATTCCCACCATTCCCAACTCATTCCCAACCCATTCCCACCATTCCCATCCCACTCCCGTCATTCCCAATCCATTCCCATCCCATTCCCAACTCATTCCCAACCCATTCCCATCCCATTCTCATCATTCACATCCCATTCCCACCCCTTTCCCACCCCATCCCCCCCATTCCCATTCCATCCCCACTTCCAATCCCACTTATCCCCATGCCATCCCCACCCCACTCCCCCCCCTTCCCCCCTCCAATCCCACCATTCCCCCCATCCCCATCCCATTCCCCCCCCATCCCCACCTCCAATTCCACCCCATCCCCCCCCATTCCCCCATCCCCATCCCATTCCCACCTCCAGTTCCATCATTCCCACCTCATTCCCCCCCAACCCCACCCCATTTCCCCCCATCCCCACCCCATTCCCTCCATTCCCCCCCATCCCCACCCCATTCCCCCCCATCCCCACCCCATTTCCCCCCATCCCCATCCCATTTCCACCTCCAGTCCCATCATTCCCACCTCATTCCCCCCCATCCCCACCCCATTCCCCCCATTCTCCCCCCATTCCCCCCATCCCCATCCCATTCCCCCCCATCCCCACCCCATTCCCCCCATTCTCCCCCCATTCCCACCCCATTCCCCCCATCCCCATCCCATTCCCACCTCCAATCCCACTATTCCCCCCCATCCCCAACCCATCCCCCCCTATTCCCATCCCCCCCCATCCCCAACCCATCCCCCCCCGTCCCATTCCCCCCATCCCATCCCCCCCATCCCCACCCCATTTCCCCCCCATCCCCATCCCATTCCCCCCATCCCCACACCATTCCCTCCATTCCCCCCCATCCCCACCTCATTCCCCCCATTCCCACCCCATTCCCACCTCCAATCCCATCATCCCCATCCCATTCCCATCCTATTCCTCCATTCCCACCCCATCCCCATCCCATCCCACCCCCCATCCCCATCCCCATCCCCCCCATCCCCACCCCATTCCACCCCCATCCCCACCCCATTCCCACCCCATTCCCCCATTTCCACCCCATCCCCCCATTCCCTCATCCCCACCCCATTCCCCCCCATCCCCACCCCATCCCCATCTCATTCCCCCCCCATTCCCACCTCCAATCCCACTATTCCCCCCCCATCCCCACCCCATCCCTCCCTATTCCCATCCCATCCCCACCCCATTTCCCCCCCACCCCATTCCCACCCCATCCCTATCCCATCCCACCTCCAATCCCCCCATTCCCACCCCATCCCCACCCCATTCCCCCCTATCCCCACCCCATCCCCATCTCATTCCGCCCCTATTCCCATCCCATCCCCACCCCATTCCCCCCCATCCCCACCCCATCCCCATCTCATTCCCCCCCCATCCCCACCTCCAACCCACCCCATCCCCCCCATCCCCATCCCATTCCCACCCCATTCCCACCTCCAATCCCATCATCCCCATCCCATCCCCACCCCCCCCACCCCATTCCCCCCCCATCCCCACCTCCAATCCCCCCATCCCCCCCCATCCCCACCCCATCCCCACCCCATTCCCCCCATTCCCACCCCATTCCCACCTCCAATCCCATCATCCCCATCCCATTCCCATCCTATTCCTCCATTCCCACCCCATCCCCATCCCATCCCACCCCCCATCCCATCCCCCCCCATCCCCACCCCATTCCCCCCCATCCCCACCCCATTCCACCCCCATCCCCACCCCATTCCCACCTCCATTCCCCCATTTCCACCCCATTCCCCCCCATTCCCTCATCCCCACCCCATTTCCCCCCATCCCCATCTCATTCCCCCCCCATCCCCACCTCCAATCCCACTATTCCCCCCCCATCCCCATCCCATCCCTCCCTATTCCCATCCCATCCCCACCCCATTTCCCCCCCACCCCATCCCCATCCCCATCCCCACCCCCCCCATTCCCATCCCATCCCCACCCCATCCCCCCCCATCCCATTCCCCCCCATCCCCATCCCATCCCACCTCCAGACCCATCATTCCCACCTCATTCCCCCCCATCCCCCCCCATCCCCACCCCATTCCCCCCTATCCCCACCCCATCCCCATCTCATTCCCCCCCCATCCCCACCTCCAATCCCACTATTCCCCCCCCATCCCCAACCCATCCCACCCTATTCCCATTCCCCCCCATCCCATTCCCCCCATCCCCACCCCATTCCCCCCATCCCCATCCCATCCCCCCCCATCCCCACCCCATTTCCCCCCCATCCCCATCCCATTCCCCCCATCCCCACACCATTCCCTCCATTCCCCCCCATCCCCACCTCATTTCCCCCATTCCCACCCCATTCCCACCTCCAATCCCATCATCCCCATCCCATTCCCATCCTATTCCTCCATTCCCACCCCATCCCCATCCCATCCCACCCCCCATCCCCATCCCATCCCCCCCCATCCCCACCCCATTCCACCCCCATCCCCACCCCATTCCCACCTCCATTCCCCCATTTCCACCCCATTCCCCCCCATTCCCTCATCCCCACCCCATTTCCCCCCCATCCCCACCCCATTCCCCCCATTCCCCCCCCATCCCCACCTCCAATCCCACTATTCCCCCCCCATCCCCACCCCATCCCTCCCTATTCCCATCCCATCCCCACCCCATTTCCCCCCCACCCCATCCCCATCCCCCACTATTCCCATCCCATCCCCACCCCATTCACCCCCATCCCATTCCCCCCCATCCCCATCCCATTCCCACCTCCAGACCCATCATTCCCACCTCATTCCCCCCCATCCCCCCCCATCCCCACCCCATTCCCCCCCATCCCCACCCCATCCCCATCTCATTCCCCCCCCATCCCCACCTCCAATCCCACTACTCCCCCCCCATCCCCATCTCATTCCCACCCCATTCCCACCTCCAATCCCATCATCCCCATCCCATTCCCATCCTATTCCTCCATTCCCCCCCATTCCCCCCCATCACCCCCCCCATTTCCCCCCCCCATCCCCCCCCATTCCCCCACCTCCTCCCCCGCTCTCCCTCCTCTTCCCGTTCCTCTCCTCCGCTCCTTTCCCGCACTCCCGGCAGCTCCAGCTCTTCCCTGCCCCATTCCCGATGGATCCGGACCCTCCTCCTCCTCCCCCGCCAGCCCCACGGCTCCTGCGATGCTCCACGCAGATGTTGGGGGGCTCCCGAGCGCACCCCCCCCGCTGCCGGACCCCGGCCGCCTCCTTCCGACGCCCACCGGAGGAGGAGGTGGGGATGGGGGGGGGGGAAAACGCTTCCGAACGGGAATGGGGATGGGAAGGAGGAGGAGGGGGGGAGGAGGAGGAGGGGGGGGGAGCAGCGAGGGAGCGCTTGGGGGACATTGAGGTTGGGGGGGCTGTGGAGGGGGAAAGAGACCCAAAATCACCCCAAAATCACGGTGAAAGAGGCCAGAAATAGCCAAAAGCACCTCAAAAGCACTGCAAAACAGCCAAAAAACACCCCAAAACACCCAAGAGACCCAAAATCACCCCAAAACCACTGCAAAACAGCGAAAAAACACCCAAAAGAGACCCAAAATCACCCCAAAATCACGGCGAAACAGCCCAGAAACACCCCAAAAACAGCCGAGACCCAAAATCACCCCAAAACCACTGCAAAACAGCCAAAAAACACCCAAAAGAGACCCAAAATCACCCCAAAACCACTGCAAAACAGCCCAGAAACACCCCAAAAACAGCCGAGAGACCAAAAATCATCTCAAATTAAGGGCAAAACAGCCAAGAAACAGCCAAAAACACCCAAAAGAGACCCAAAATCACCCCAAAATCACGGTGAAAGAGGCCAGAAATAGCCAAAAGCACCCCAAAACCACTGCAAAACAGCCCAGAAACAGCCAAAACCACCCAAGAGACCCAAAATCACCCCAAAATCACGGTGAAAGAGGCCAGAAATAGCCAAAAGCACCCCAAAACCACTGCAAAACAGCACAGAAACAGCCCAAAAACAGCCGAGACCCAAAATCACCCCAAAACCACTACAAAAGCAAAAAAAACAGCCAAAAAACACCCGAAAGAGACCCAAAATCACGGTGAAACAGCCCAGAAACACCCCAAAAACAGCCGAGACCCAAAATCACCCCAAAACCACTGCAAAACAGCCCAGAAACACCCCAAAAACAGCCGAAACCCAAAATCACCCCAAAACCACTGCAAAACAGCCCAGAAACAGCCCCAAAACACCCAAAAGAGACCCAAAATCACCCCAAAATCACGGTGAAAGAGGCCACAAATAGCCAAAAGCACCCCAAAACCACTGCAAAACAGCACAGAAACAGCCAAAAACACCCAAGAGACCCAAAATCACCCCAAAACCACTGCAAAACAGCACAGAAACAGCCAAAAACACCCAAGAGACCCAAAATCACAGTGAAAGAGCCCAGAAACAGCCAAAAGCACCCCAAAACCACTGCAAAACAGCACAGAAACAGCCAAAAACACCCAAGAGACCCAAAATCACCCCAAAACCACTGCAAAACAGCCAAGAAACAGCCAAAAACACCCAAGAGACCCAAAATCACCCCAAAACCACTGCAAAACAGCCAAAAAACAGCCAAAAGAGACCCAAAATCACCCCAAAATCATGGCGAAACAGCCCAGAAACAGCCAAAAATACCCAAAAGAGACCAAAAATCACCCCAAAATCATGGTGAAACAGCCCAGAAATAGCCAAAACCACCCAAAAGCGACCCAAAATCATGGCAAAAGAGACCCAAAAGAGACCCAAAATCACCCCAAAATCACGGTGAAACAGCCCAGAAACAGCCAAAAGCACCCAAGAGAGACCCAAAATCACGGTGAAACAGCCCAGAAACAGCCAAAATCACCCCAAAACCACTGCAAAACAGCCCAGAAACACCCCAAAAACAGCCGAGAGACCCAAAATCACAAGGAAACACCCCAGAAACACGCCAAAACACCCGAAAAAGAACCAAAATCACAGTGAAAGAGCCCAGAAACAGCCAAAAACACCCAAAAGAGACCCAAAATCATGACGAAAGATCCCAGAAACAGCCCAAATCAACCCAAAACCACTGCAAAACAGCCCAGAAACAGCCAAAAACACCCAAAAGAGACCCAAAATCACAGTGAAAGAGCCCAGAAACAGCCAAAAACACCCAAAAGAGACCCAAAATCACGCTGAAACAGCCCAGAAACACCAAAAAACACACGGAAGAGACCCAAAATCACCCCAAAATCACGGCGAAACAGCCCGGAAACAGCCAAAAACACCCGAAAGAGACCCCAAAATCATAGCGAAACAGCCCAGAAACACCCCAAAACACCCGAAAGAGACCCAAAAACACGGCAAAAGAGCACAGAAACACCCAAAAACACCCCAAAGAGACCTAAAATCATGGCGAAATAGCCCAAAAACACCCAAAACCACCCGAAAGAGACCCAAAATCACGGCAAAACAGCCCAGAAACAGCCAAAAACGCCCGAAAGAGGCCCAAAACCACTGCAAAACAGCCAAGAAACGCCCAAAACCACCCCAAAACCACTGAAAAACAGCCCAGAAACAACCAAAACCACCCAAGAGACCCAAAATCACCCCAAAATCATGGCCAAACAGCCCAGAAACACTCCAAAATACCCGAAAGAGACCCAAAATCACTGCAAAACATCCCAGAAACACCCAAAACCACCCAAAACCACTGCAAAACAACCCAGGAACACTCAAAAGAGACCCAAAATCACTACAAAACAGCCCAGAAACACCCAAACCCACCCAAAATAGACCCCAAACCACCCCAAAATCACTACAAAACAGCCCAGAAACACCCAAAACCACCCAAAACCACTGCAAAACAACCCAGGAACACCCAAAAGAGACCCAAAATCACTGCAAAACAGCCCAGAAACACCCAAAATAGACCCCAAACCACCCCAAAATCACTGCAAAACACCCCAGAAACACCCAAACCAGACCCCAAACCACCCCAAAATCACTACAAAACAGCCCAGAAACACCCAAAACCACCCAAAACACCATAAAACCACCCTAGAAATGCCCCAAACCACACCAAAACTACTCAAATCACCCCAAAACAGCCCCCAAACACCCCCAAACTGGCTGAAACACCCAAAACACCCCAAAACACCCTAAAACCAGCCAAAAACAGCCCAGAAAAGCACCAAAACCACACCAAAACCACTCAAAAAACCTGAAACCAGATGCACAACACCCCAAAACCAGCTGAAATGCCCCAAACAGACCCAAAACACCCCAAAACCACCCCAAAACACCATCAAACCACCCAAAACCACCCCAGAAACACTGAAAACCACACAAAAACACCCCAAAACCACCCTAAAAATGCCCTGTAACACCCCAGAAATGCCCCAAACCACCCCAAAACCACTCAAAACACCCTGAAAACACCCCAAAACCACCCTAAAAACAGCCCAAAACACCCCAGAAAAGCCCCAAAACCACTCAAATCACCCCCAAAACACCCTAAAAACACCCCAAAGAACCCATAAAACACCCCAGAAAAGCCCACAAACCACCCCAAAACCACTCAAAACACCCCAAAACAGCCCCCAAACACCACAAAACAACCCCAAAACCACACTAAATACACCCGAAAACACCTCAGAAGAGCCCCAAAACCACCCCAAAACCACTCCAAACACCCCCAAAACACCCCAAAACCACCCCAAAAACCACCCTAAAACCACTCCAAAACACCCCAGAAAAGCCCCAAAACCACTCAAAACACCCCAAAACTGCCCCCAAACACCCCAAAACAACCCCAAAACCACCCTAAATACACCTGAAAACACCTCAGAAGAGCCCCAAAACCACCCCCAAACCGCTCGAAACACCCCCAAAACCACCCTAAAACCACCCCAAAACACCCCAGAAAATCCCCAAAACCACTCAAAACACCCAACAGCCCCCAAAACACCCCAAAACAACCCCAAAAACACCCTAAAGACACCCAAAAACACCTCAGAAGAGCCCCAAAACCCCCCCAAAACAGCTCGAAACACCCCCAAAACACCCCCAAAACCACCCTAAAAACACCAGAAAACACCCCCCAAGCCCCAAAACCACTCAAAATGCCCCAAAACAGCCCCGAAACACCCCAAAACCACCCTAAAAACACCCCAAAACACCTCAGAAGAGCCCCAAAACCGCTCGAAACACCCCAAAACACCCCCAAAACCACCCTAAAACCACCCCAAAACACCCCAGAAGAGCGCCGAAACCACCCCAAAACCACTCGAAACACCCCAAAACCACCCAAAAACCACCCTAAAAACACCCCAAAACACCCCAGAAAAGCCCCAAAACCACTGAAAACACCCAACAGCCCCCAAAACACCCCAAAACCACCCTAAAACCACCCCAAAACACCCCAAAACTGGCTGAAAACCCCCCAAGCACCCTAAACCAGCCCAGAAACGCCCCCAAAACCCCTCAAAACACCCCAAAACCACCCCAAAACACCCCCCAAGCCCCCTCTATGGGGACCATGGGGGGGGCTCCCAATCCCATTCCTGGGATTCCAGAGGAACGGAGCAATGGTTTGGGGTGGTTTGGGCTATTTTGGGGTGGTTTGGGCTATTTTGGGGTGTTTCGGGCTATTTTGGGGTGTTTTGGGGTGTTTGGGGCTATTTTGGGTGGTTTGGGCTATTTTGGGGTGGTTTAGGCTATTTTGGGGTGGTTTGGGCTATTCTGGGGTGTTTTGGCCTATTTTGGGGTGTTTGGGGCTATTTTGGGCTATTTTGGGTGGTTTGGGCTATTTCGGGGTGTTTGGGGCTATTCTGGGGTGTTTGGGGCTACTTTGGGTGTTTTGGCCTATTTTGGGGTGGTTTGGGCTATTTTGGGGTATTTTGGGGTGGTTTGGGCTATTTTGGGGTGTTTGGGTCGGTTTTGGGGCTATTTTGTGCCGTTTTGGGGCTCTTTTGTGCTGCTTTGGGGCCGTTTTGGTCGCTGCCGATGCTCCCCTGCAGCCCCCTTTGTCCCCGCGAGTCACAGCCAAGAGACAGCCCCCATCCAGCCACATTCCCATTCCCATTCCCATCCCCGTTCCCACTCCCCCCCCCATCCCATTCCCGTTGCCATCCCACTCCCCCGTTCCCGTTCCCATCCCGTTCCCGTTCCCATCCCGCTCCCGTTCCCATCCCCGGTCCCGTTCCCATTTCCATCCCCATTCCCAGTCCCCCCCCCGTTCCCACTCGCCCCCCCCATCCCATCCCCGTTCCCATCCCTTTCCCGTTCCCATTCCCCCCCCATTCCATCTCCGTTCCCATCCCGTTCCCGTTCCCATCCCACTCCCCCCCCCAACCCGTTCCCGTTTCCATCCCCATCCCGTTCCCGTTCCCATCCCACTCCCCCGTTCCCGTTCCCATCCCACTCCTCCCCCATCCCCGTTCCCGTTCCCATCCCTTTCCCGTTCCCATTCCCATCCCCGTTCCCGGTCCCCCCCCCCGTTCCCATTCCCCCCCATTCCATCTCCGTTCCCATCCCGTTCCCGTTTCCATCCCCATCCCCGTTCCCACTCCCCCCCCCATCCCATTCCCGTTCCCATCCCACTCCCCCCCCATCCCATTCCCATCCCCATCTCCGTTCCCGTTCCCGTCCCCGTTCCCGTTCCCTCTCCGCTACCTCCGCCCGCAGCCGCCGGACAATGGAGGAGGAGGCGGCGGCGCCGCTGCTGACCCCGGAAGCGCAACCCCGGCGCCGCTGCGGGAGCGGAACCGGCCCCGGAACGGCCCCAAATCAGCCCAAAAACGACCCCAAACGGCCCCAAAACGGCCCCAGATAAGCCAAAAACGGGCCAAAACGGCCCCGAAACGACCCAAAACGACCCAAAACGGCCCCGAAATGGCCCAAAACGGCCCCAAATGGCTCCGAAACAGCCCCGAAATGCCCCAAAACAGCCCCAAAACGACCCAAAACGGCCCCAAAACGACCCAAAACGGCCACAAACGGCCACAAACGGCCCCGAAACGACCCAAAACGGCCCCGAAATGGCCCAAACCGCCCCAAACGGCCCAAAACGGCCCCAAATCAGCCCAAAACGGCCCCAAACGGCCCCAAAACGGCCCCGAAACGGCCCAAAACGGCCCCGAAACGACACAAAACGGCCCCGAAATGGCCCCAAACGGCCCAAACGGCCCCGAAACGACCAAAACGACCCAAAACGGCCCCGAAACGACCCAAAACGGCCCCGAAAGGACCCAAAACGGCCCCAAAATGGCCCAAAAGGCTCCGAAACGGCCCCGAAATGGCCCAAAACAGCCCCAAATCAGCCCAAAACGGCCCCAAAACGGCCCCGAAACGGCCCCAAATCAGCCCCAAACGGCCCCAAAACGACCCAAAATGGCCCCAAAATGGCCCAAAACGGCCCCAAACGGCACCCAAACAGCCCAAAAACGGCCCCAAAAGACCCCCAAGTAGCCCCAAACGGCCCCAAAATGGCCCCGAAGTGGCCCCGAAACGACCCCAAAATGGCCATGAAACCACCCAAACCGGGCACAAATGGCCCCAAAACGACCCCAAACAGCCCCAAAAGACCCCCAAATAGCCCAAAACGGCCCCAAAATGGCCCCAAAACGGCCCAAATGGCCCCCAAAAGGCCCCAAAATGGCCCCAAAAGACCCCCAAAAGGCCCCGAAACGGCCCAAACCGGCCCCAAACGACCCCAAAATGGCCCCAAACCGACCCCAAAATAGCCCAAAACAGTACCAAAAAAGCCCCAAAAGACCCCAAAATAGCCCAAAATGCCCCCAAAATAGCCCAAACCGACCCCAAAATAGCTCAAAACGGCCCTAAATGGCCCAAAATGACCCCGAAGTAGCCCAGACCGGCCCCAAACGACCCCAAAATGGCCCCAAACCGACCCCAAAATAGCCCAAACTGGCCCCAAACAGCCCCAAACTGGCCCCAAACGAACCCCAAATAGCCCAAAACGGTACCCAAACAGCCCCAAATGACCCCAAAGTAGCCCAAAACGCCCCCAAAATAGCCCAAACCGACCCCAAAATAGCTCAAACCGACCCCAAAATGGCCTCAAAATGACCCCAAAGTAGCCCAAACCGGCCCCAAACGACCCAAAAATGGCCCCAAACCGACCCGAAAAAAAATAGCCCAAAACGACCCCAAAATCACCCCAAAATAGCCCCAAACGACCCCAAAATCGCCCCAAAATAGCCCAAAACGACCCCTAAATCGCCTCAAAATAGCCCAAAACGACCCCAAAATCGCCCAAAACGACCCCAAAATCACCCCAAAACGGCCCCAAATAACCCCAAATGCCCCCAAAACAGCCCCAAGATGCCCCCAAAAGAGCCTAAATCAGCCCAAAATGCCCCAAAACCGCCCAAAGTAGCCTGAAACAGCCCTGAAATAGCCCAAAACCCCAAAAGCACCCCAAAAAACACGCCGAAAACAGCCAGAAAACACCAAAACCATGGGGAATTTGGGGGGAATTTGGGTGGGAATTGGGGAATTTGGGTGCGAATTGGGGGAATTTGTTGGGAATTGGGAAAATTTGGGTGGAATTGGGGAATTTGGGTGGGAATTGGGGAATTTGGGTGGAATTGGAGGGATTTGGGTGGGAATTGGGGAAATTTGGGTGGGAATCGGGGAATTTGGGTGGGAATTGGGGAATTTGGGTGGGAATCGGGGAATTTGGGTGGGAATTGGGGAAATTTGGGGGGAATTGCAGAATTTGGGTGGGAATTGGGGAAATTTGGGGTGAATTGGGGGAATTTGGGTCGGAATTGGGAAATTTGGGGGTAATTGGGGGAATTTGGGTGGGAATTGGGGAAATTAGGGGGGAATTGGGGAATTTGGGTGGGAATTGGGAAATTTGGGGGGAATTGTGGAATTTGGGGGCGAATTGGGGAATTTGGGTGGGAATTGTTGGGGTTTGGGTGGGAATTGGGGAATTTGGGTGAGAATTGTTGGGATTTGGGTGGAATTGTTGGGATTTGTGTGGGAATTGTTGGGATTTGGGTGGAATTGTTGGGATTTCGATGGGAATTGTTGGGATTTGGGGGGGGGAATTGAAGGAATTTGGGTGGAATTGTTGGGATTTGTGTGGGAATTGTTGGGATTTGGGTGGAATTGTTGGGATTTCGATGGGAATTGTTGGGATTTGGGGGGGGGAATTGAAGGAATTTGGGTGGAATTGTTGGGATTTGGGTGGGAATTGAAGGAATTTGGGTGGAATTGTTGGGATTTGGGTGGGAATTGAAGGAATTTGGGTGGAATTGTTGGGATTTCGATGGGAATTGGGGGGATTTGGGCGGAATTGTTGGGATTTCGATGGGAATTGTTGGGATTTGGGGGGGGGAATTGAAGGAATTTGGGTGGAATTGTTGGGATTTGGGTGGGAATTGAAGGAATTTGGGTGGAATTGTTGGGATTTCGATGGGAATTGGGGGGATTTGGGCGGAATTGTTGGGATTTCGATGGGAATTGTTGGGATTTGGGGGGGGGAATTGAAGGAATTTGGGTGGAATTGTTGGGATTTGGGTGGGAATTGAAGGAATTTGGGTGGAATTGTTGGGATTTCGATGGGAATTGGGGGGATTTGGGCGGAATTGTTGGGATTTCGATGGGAATTGTTGGGATTTGGGGGGGGGAATTGAAGGAATTTGGGTGGAATTGTTGGGATTTGGGTGGGAATTGAAGGAATTTGGGTGGAATTGTTGGGATTTCGATGGGAATTGGGGGGATTTGGGCGGAATTGTTGGGATTTCGATGGGAATTGTTGGGATTTGGGGGGGGGAATTGAAGGAATTTGGGTGGAATTGTTGGGATTTGGGTGGGAATTGAAGGAATTTGGGTGGAATTGTTGGGATTTCGATGGGAATTGGGGGGATTTGGGACCACCAGGACCCTTTTCGGGGGGGGGGGGGGGCAAAGCATTCCCGAGACGCGGCTGCAGGCTGGAAAAGCCTTTACTGAGCAATGGGGATGCTCTGTATGGACCCCTCAATCCCATTGGCTATGGGGCCCATGGACCACGTGTCCATGTGCTGTCCATGGGGCTGATGGACCCCTCAATCCCAGTGTCCATGGGGATGAGGGACCCCTTGATCCCATTGTCTATGGGGCCAATGGACCACGTGTCCATGTGCTGTCCATGGTGCTGATGGACCCCTTGATCCCAGTGTCCATGGGGATGATGGAGCCCTGATTCCAGTGTCCATGGGGCTGATGGACCGATCCCAGTATCCATGGTTGCCAATGGACCAATCCCATTATCCATGGTGCCAATGGACCAATCCCACTACCCACCATGCTGATGGACCGATCCCAGTATCCATGGTGCCGATGGACCAATCCCAGTATCCATGGTTGCCAATGGACCAATCCCATTATCCATGGTGCCATGGACCAATCCCAGTATCCATGGTGCCGATGGACCAATCCCAGTATCCATGGTTGCCAATGGACCAATCCCATTATCCATGGTGCCAATGGAGCACTCAATCCCAGTATCCATGGTGCCGATGGACCGATCCCAGTATCCATGGTTGCCAATGGACCAATCCCAGTACCCATGGTTGCCAATGGAGCACTCAATCCCAGTATCCATGGTGCCGATGGACCGATCCCAGTATCCATGGTGCCGATGGAGCACTCAATCCCAGTATCCATGGTGCCGATGGACCGATCCCAGTATCCATGGTGCCAATGGACCAACACCAGTATCCATGGTTGCCAATGGACCAATCCCAGTATCCATGGTGCCAATGGACTGATCCCAGTATCCATGGTGCCAATGGACCAACACCAGTATCCATGGTGCCAATGGACCAACTCCAGTATCCATGGTTGCCAATGGACCGATCCCAGTATCCATGGTGCCGATGGACCGATCCCAGTATCCATGGTTGCCAATGGACCAACACCAGTATCCATGGTGCCGATGGACCGATCCCAGTATCCATGGTGCCAATGGATTGATCCCAGTATCCATGGTTGCCAATGGACCGATCCCAGTCTCCATGGTGCCGATGGAGCACCCAATCCCAGTATCCATGGTGCCAATGGACCAACACCAGTATCCATGGTGCCGATGGACCGATCCCATTATCCATGGTTGCTGATGGACCAACACCAGTATCCATGGTGCCGATGGACCGATCCCAGTATCCATGGTGCCGATGGACCAACACCAGTATCCATGGTGCCGATGGACCGATCCCAGTCTCCATGGTGCCGATGGAGCACCCAATCCCAGTATCCATGGTGCCAATGGACCAACACCAGTATCCATGGTGCCGATGGACCGATCCCATTATCCATGGTTGCTGATGGACCAACACCAGTATCCATGGTGCCGATGGACCGATCCCAGTATCCATGGTGCCGATGGACCAACACCAGTATCCATGGTGCCAATGGACCAACACCAGTATCCATGGTGCCAATGGACCAACACCAGTATCCATGGTTGCCAATGGACCAATCCCAGTACCCACGGTGCCGATGGACCCCTAACCCCTGTGGGGCGCCCCACGGTCTGTCCCTGGTGCCCACTCCCCCCCCACATCTCCCATTCCCCACCGCCGCCATCCCCATCACCACCCTCCTCCGGCCCTTGCAGCCATCACCCTACACCTCAGCACCCCCAAGGCCCTCTCCAACGCCCCACAACCGTTCCCTCCCCCCGTCAGCACGCCCCACACTTCCCTCATGTCATCGGGGCGCAGGCGGTGCGCGCTGAACATCACCTCCCCGTAACAGCACCCATCCAACGGCACCCTCATGGCGCCCGCCAGCCGCGCCGTGTGCCGCGGCGCCAGCCCGGCACGCCGGGCGCACAACCCGACCCACACGTCCTCGGGACCCACGAAAGGAACGTGTGGGGCGGCCGCCAGCACCGCCAACGCCGCCGCGCGCGACAGCACGTAGGCCGTGCCGCTGCAGTAAGGGGGGAACCGCGACGCCGGGTACAACGCGGCGGGGACGTGGTGACGGCTCGATGGGTCGCGGTTGGGGGGCACCCACCAATGCACCCGACCCAAGTAAAGGCGCCGGGGCAACGTTGGCGCCCGGAGGTGCCGCGCCAAGGCGGGGACGTTGACGAAGACGTCGTCGTCGGCCTTGAGAAGGAAACGGGCGCCGGGGCAGCGCCGGGACGCCCAACGCAGCAGCAGCAGCGTTTTCAGCGTCAGCGTGCCGTAGGCGTCGGGGAACGCGCCCTGCAGCACGTCGCCGTGACGCAACCACTCCTCACGCAGCGCCCGCCACGCCGCCCGCGACCCGGGCAGGCCCACCACGAAGATGGTGCGCATGGAGGGCGTTTCGGGGGCGGTTTCGGGCTCTTCGGGGGCGTTTTGAGGCGTTTCGGGGGCGTTTTCAGGCGTTTTGAGGGCGTTTTTAGGCGTTTCAGGCATTTGGGGGGTGTTTTGAAGCGTTTCGGGGGCATTTTGAAGCGTTTCGGGGGCGTTTTTAGGTGTTTCGCGAGCGTTTCTAAGCGTTTCGGGGGCGTTTCTAGGCGTTTTGGGGGCGTTTTTAGGCGTTTCAGGGGCGTTTTCGGGCGTTTCGGGGGCGTTTCTAGGCGTTTCAGGCATTTGGGGGGCGTTTTGAAGTGTTTTGGGGGAGTTTTGAGGCGTTTCAGGGGTGTTTCTAGGAGTTTTGGGGGCGTTTTTAGGCGTTTCGGGGGCGATTCGAAGCGTTTCGGGGGCGTTTGTAGGCGTTTTGAGGGCGTTTTTAGGCGTTTCAGGCATCTGGGGGGCGTTTTGAAGCGTTTCGGGGCCGTCTCTAGGCGTTTCGGGGGCGTTTCTAGGCGTTTTGGGGGCGTTCCTGAGCGTTTCAGGGCCATTTTGAAGCGTTTCAGGAGCGTTTCTAGGTGTTTGAGGGGCGTTTCTAGCTGTTTCAGGGGCGTTTCCGGGCGTTTTGGGGGCGTTTCTAGGCGTTTCGGGGGCGTTTCTAAGCGTTTGAGGGGCGTTTCTAGCTGTTTCGGGGGCGTTTCCGGGCGTTTCAGGGGCGTTTTCAGGCGTTTCGGGGGCGTTTCCAGGCGTTTTAGGGGCGTTTCTAGGCGTTTCAGGTATTTTGGGGCCGTTTTGAAGCATTTCAGGGGCGTTTCTAGCCGTTTCGAGGGCGTTTTCAGGCGTTTCATGGGTGTTTCCACCCATTTTGAGGCCGTTGCTAACCATTTCAGGGGCGTTTTCAGGCGTTTGGGGGGCGTTTTTAAGCGTTTCGCGGGCGTTTCTAGCTTTTTTGGGGGCGTTTTCAGGCGTTCCGGGGCCGTTTCGTGGCGCCGGGGTCCGTTTCGGGGGTGTCCCCCGGCCCCAGGTGTCGCGCACGGCTTGGCGCTGCTCCGCGTGCTCCGCGGCGCTGGGCACCAGCACCAAGAGGAAGGGCCCGCTGGGGCCGCAGGGCTCCGGGGACAGGAGGATGGGGATGGAGGCGGGGTAGGTGGAAACGTTGCCGAGGGGCAGGGGATCGGCACCGTTGGGACCCACCGGAACGCCTGCGTCAAGCGCCAAAGCCCCGTCACCGTTTCCCGTTCCCAATCCCGCTCCCATTCCCATTCCCAATCCCGTTCCCGTTCCCAATACCGTTCCCAATCCCGTTCCCATTCCCAATTGCGTTCCCGATCCCGTTCCCATTCCCAATCCCGTTCCCGTTCCCAATCTCGTTCCTGATCCCGTTCCCGTTCCCAATCCCGCTCCCGTTCCCAATCCCGTTCCCGTTCCCGTTCCCAATCCCGCTCCCGTTCCCAATCCCGTTCCCGTTCCCAATCCCGCTCCCGTTCCCAATCCCGCTCCCAATCCCGTTCCCGTTCCCATTCCCAATCCCGTTCCCGTTCCCGCTCCCAATCCCGTTCCCGCTCCCATTCCCAATCCCGTTCCCGTTCCCAATCCCGTTCCCGTTCCCATTCCCAATCCCGTTCCCAATCCCGTTCCCGTTCCCATTCCCAATCCCGTTCCCGTTCCCGTTCCCATTCCCATTCCCGCTCCCGTTCCCGTTCCCGCTCCCGTTCCCGTTCCATCCCCGTTCCAAGCCGCCAGCGCCGCCGCCAGCAGCTCCTCTCCGCCGCCCCCCCCCGCCAGCCCCAGCCCCAGCAGCGCCAGCGCCAGCGCCGCCGCCCGAGCCGCGCAGCGCCGGGCACGGGAGCAACGGCGCCGCATCGCGAACGGGAACGGGGGGGCTCGAACGGGACCCGAACGGGAACGGGGGGACCCGAACGGGAACGGGGGGACCCGAACGGGAACGGGAGCGCCCGAAAGGGGGGGGGGGAGGCCCGAACGGGAACAGGAGCGCCCGAACGGAAAGGGGAGCGCCTAAACGGGAACAGGAGCGCCCGAACGGGAACGGGGGGACCCGAACGGGAACGGGAGCGCCCGAACGGGAACGGGAGCGCCCGAACGGGAGGGGGTGTGGGGGGAGGCCCGAACGGGAACGGGAGCGCCCGAACGGAAAGGGGAGCGCCTAAACGGGAACAGGAGCGCCCGAACGGGAGCGGGGGGACCCGAAAGGGGGCGCCCCAACAGGAACGGGAACACCGGAAAGGCACCGCCCGAACGGGAACGGGGGGACCCGAACGGGAACGGGGGGACCCGAAGGGGAACGGGAGCGCCCGAACGGGGGGGGGGGGGGGGAGGCCCGAACGGGAACGGGAGCGCCCGAACGGAAAGGGGAGCGCCTAAACGGGAACGGGAGCGCCCGAACGGGAGGGGGTGGGGGGGGAGGCCAGAACGGGAACGGGAGCGCCCGAACGGGAACGGGGGAGCCCGAAAGGGAATGGGAGCACCCGCACGGAACCACCCGAACGCGGACGAATGCGGACGGGGGTGCCCGAAGGGGAACGGGGGGGAGGGGGGGGAGGCGAACGGGAACGGGGGACCCCGAACGGGAACGGGAGCGCCTGAACGGGAAAGGGAGCGCCCGAACGGGAACGGGGGGACCCGAACGGGAACGGAACTGCCCGAACGAGAACGGGACCACCCGAAAGGGAACGGGGGTGCCCGAAGGGGAACGGGGGGGGCCGAACGGGAACGGGAGGACCCGAACGGGAGCGCCCGAACGGGAACGGGGGGACCCGAACGGGAACGGAGCCTCCCGAACGCTTCCGCCTCCCCCCCCCCCCCCAGCCCCGCCCGTTCCCGTCACGCGGTACCGGGAAGCCGCGGCCGGGGCGCGCCCGCGCGAGCCGCAGGGGGCGGGGCCAGTGCCGGGGAGGGCGGCGTGTGATTGGTGGAGAAAGGGCGCGGTGGGCGTGGCTAGAGGGGATGGGGGCGTGGCTTTGGTGGCTGCGGGCGCCGAGAGCCAATAGGAAGGCGGCGTGGCCCGATGGGGGCGTGGCTTGACGCTGGGGGCGTGGCTTGGGTGGCTGCGGGCGCTGCGGGCCAATAGGAAGGCGGCGTGGGCCGATGGGGGCGTGGTTTGACGCTAGGGGCGTGGCTTGGGTGGCTGCGGGAGCCGAGGGCCAATAGGAAGGCGGCGTGGCCCGATGGGGGCGTGGCTTGACGCTGGGGGCGTCGCTTGGGTGGCTGCGGGCGCTGCGGGCCAATAGGAAGGCGGCGTGGCCCGACGGGGGCGTGGCTTGAGTGGCTGCGGGAGCTTAGGGCCAATAGGAAGGCGGCGTGGCCCGATGGGGGCGTGGCTTGACGCTGGGGGCGTCGCTTGGGTGGCTGCTGGCGCCGAGAGCCAATAGGAAGGCGGCGTGGCCCGATGGGGGCGTGGCTTGGTGGGGGCGTGGCTTGGTGGGGGCGTGGATTCACGGGGGGATTTGCGCATGCGCGGAGGGTGGGGGGGGCGCGCGTTGTTGCCGCGTCACGTGATCGGCGGAGGGGGCGTGGTCTGGGCCTGCAGCGGCGTGAGGAGCGGTGAGGGGGCCTGTGGGGTCTATGGGGCCTCTATGGGGTCTGTGGGGCCCCTATGGGGTCTCTATGGGGTCTCTATGGTGTCTGTGGGGCCCCTATGGGGTCACTATGGGGTCTATGAGGCCTGTATGGGATCTCTATGGGGTCTCTGGGGTCTCTATGGGGTCTATGGGGTCTATGGGGTCACTGTGGGGTCTGTGGGGCTCCTATGGGGCCACTATAGGGTCTATGGGGCCTGTATGGGGTCTATGGGGTCTCTATGGGGTCTGTGGAGCTCCTATGGGGTCACTATGGGGTCTATGGGGCCTGTATGGGGTCTATGGGGTCTGTGGAGCTCCTATGGGGTCACTATGGGGTCTATGGGGCCTGTATGGGGTCTGTGGAGCTCCTATGGGGTCACTATGGGGTCTATGGGGCCTGTATGGGGTCTATGGGGTCTGTGGGGCCCCTATGGGGTCACTATGGGGTCTATGGGGCCTGTATGGGGTCTATGGGGTCTCTATGGGGTCTGTGGGGCCCCTATGGGGTCACTGTGGTGTCTAAGGGCCTGTATGGGATCTCTATGGGGTCTCTATGGGGTCTGTGGGGCCTCTATGGGGCCTGTATGGGGTCTCTATGGGGCCTCTATGGGGTCTCTTTGGGGCCTGTATGGGGTCTCTATGGGGTCTGTGGGGCCCCTATGGGGTCACTATGGGGTCTAAGGGCCTGTATGGGGTCTCTATGGGGTCTATGGGGTCTCTATGGGGCCTGTATAGGGTCTCTATGGGGCCTGTATGGGGTCTCTATGGGGTCTATGGGGCCCCTATGGGGTCACTATGGGGTCTAAGGGCCTGTATGGGGTCTCTATGGGGTCTATAGGGCCTGTATGGGGTCTCTATGGGATCTCTATGGGGCCTGTATGGGGTCTCTATGGGGTCTCTGTGGGGCCCCTATGGGGTCACTATGGGGTCTAAGGGCCTGTATGGGGCCTGTATGGGGCCTGTATTGGGTCTGTGGGGCCACTGTGGGGTCTATGGGGCCTGTATGGGCTCCTTATGGGGTCTATTGGGCCTCTATGGGTCTGTGGGGCCTTTATGGGGCCTGTATGGGGTCTATGGGGCCTCTATGGGGTCTCTATAGGGCCTGTATGGGGTCTTTATGGGGTCTCTGTGGGGTCTATGGGGTCTGTATCGGGTCTGTAGGGCCTATATGGGGTCTCTATGGGGTTTGGGGGGGTCCCTATGGGTTTTTCGGTGTCTCTATGGGGTTTTTGGGGTCTCTATGGGGTTTGGGGGGGGTCTCTATGGGGTTTTTGGGGCCTCTATGGGGTTTTTGGGGTCTCTGTGGGGTTTGGGGGGGGTTGGGGCTCCCATGGCTCCCCCCCCCAGCCCCCGCCATGGCTGAGCAGATCCAGAAGAAGCTTCAGGGAGAGTTGGAGAAATACCAACAACTGCAGAAAGGTGCCAAAAACCCCTCATTTCACCCCAAAAAACCCTCATTTCACCCCAAAAAACCCTCATTTCACCCCAAAAACCCCTCATTTCACCCCAAAACCCCTCATTTCACCCCCAAAACCCCCTCATTTCACCCCAAACCCCCTCATTTCCCCCCCAAAACCCCTCATTTTACCCAAAATCCCCTCATTTCACCCCAAAACCCCCTCATTTCACCCCAAAAAACCCTCATTTCCCCCCAAAAAACCCTCATTTCCCCCCAAAAAACCCTCATTTCCCCCCAAAACCCCCTCATTTCCCCCCAAAACCCCTCATTTCCCCCCAAAACCCCTCATTTTACCCAAAATCCCCTCATTTCCCCCCAAAACCCCCTCATTTCACCCCAAACCCCCTCATTTTACCCAAAATCCCCTCATTTCCCCCCAAAACCCCCTCATTTCACCCCAAAACCCCCTCATTTCACCCCAAAAACCCCTCATTTCACCCCAAAACCCCTCATTTTACCCAAAATCCCCTCATTTCACCCCAAAACCCCCTCATTTCACCCCAAAACCCCTCATTTCCCCCAAAACCCCCTCATTTCACCCCAAAATCCCCTCATTTCCCCCCAAAACCCCCTCATTTCACCCCAAAACCCCCTCATTTCCCCCCAAAACCCCCTCATTTCCCCCCAAAACCCCTCATTTCCCCCAAAACCCCCTCATTTCCCCCCAAAACCCCCTCATTTCACCCCAAAACCCCCTCATTTCACCCCAAAACCCCTCATTTCCCCCAAAATCCCCTCATTTCCCCCCAAAACCCCCTCATTTCCCCCCAAAACCCCCTCATTTCCCCCCAAAACCCCCTCATTTCACCCCAAATCCCCTCATTTCACCCCAAAACCCCCTCATTTCACCCCAAAACCCCCTCATTTCACCCCAAAACCCCCTCATTTCCCCCCAAAACCCCCTCATTTCCCCCCAAAACCCCCTCATTTCCCCCAAAACCCCCTCATTTCCCCCCAAAACCCCCTCATTTCCCCCAAAACCCCTCATTTCCCCCCAAAACCCCCTCATTTCCCCCCCAAAACCCCCTCATTTCCCCCCCAAAACCCCCTCATTTCCCCCCAAAACCCCCTCATTTCAGCCCAAAACCCCCTCATTTCAACCCAAAACCCCCTCATTTCCCCCCAAAACCCCCTCATTTCACCCCAAAACACCCTCATTTCACCCCAAAACCCCTCATTTTACCCAAAATCCCCTCATTTCACCCCAAAACCCCCTCATTTCACCCCAAAATCCCCTCATTTCACCCCAAACCCCTCATTTCCCCCCAAAACCCCTCATTTTACCCAAAATCCCCTCATTTCACCCCAAAACCCCTCATTTCACCCCAAAATCCCCTCATTTCACCCCAAACCCCTCATTTTACCCAAAATCCCCTCATTTCACCCCAAAACCCCCTCATTTCACCCCAAAACCCCCTGACCCCCCCATTCTCCGCCCAGACCTGAGCCGCGCCGTGGCCGCACGGCAGAAGCTGGAGGCGCAGCTGACCGAGAACAACATCGTCAAGGAGGTCAGAAAGCCCCCAAAACGGGCAAAAACAGCCCAAAATACCCCCTAAACACCCAAAAATACCCCCCAAACACCCCAAAATACCCCCTAAACACCCCCTAAACACCCCAAAATACCCCAAAACACCCCAAAATACCCCCAAAACACCCCAAAATACCCCCAAAACACCCCAAAATACCCCAAAATACCCCCAAACCACCTCAAAATACTCCAAAATACCCCCTAAACACCCCAAAATAGCCCAAAATACCCCAAAACACCCCCTAAACAACCCCAAAACACCCCATAAACACCCCCTAAACACCCCAAAATACTCCAAAAACACCCCAAAATACCCCCAAAACACCCCCTAAACACCCCAAAATACCCCCAAAACACCCCCTAAACACCCCAAAATACCCCCAAACACCCCAAAATACTCCGAAATACCCCCAAACCACCCCAAAATACTCCAAAAACAAAAACACCCCAAAACACCCCAAAACACCCCCTGAACACCCCAAAATACCCCCTGAACACCCCAAAATACCCCCTGAACACCCCAAAATGACCCAAAAACACCCCAAAATACCCAGAAACACACCAAAATACCCCCCAAACACTCCAAAAGACTCAAAAACCACCCCAAAATACCCAGAAACACCCCCAAAATACTCAAAAAACCCCCCAAAGTACCCCAAAATCCACCCTAAACCACCCCAAAATACCCCAAACCCTCTAAACTACCCCAAATCCACCCTAAACCACCCCAAAATACCCCCAAACAAGTCTAAAACACCCCCAAACCCTCTAAACCACCCAAAATCAGCCCAAAATGACCCAAAAACCCCCAAATTCACCCCAAAACCGCTCCCTTTAGGAGCTGGAGCTGCTGGATGCCTCCAACCCCAGCTCCAAACCCCCCTAAAACCCATCTAAAGCCCCCCTAAAACACCCCCAAAAAAACCTAAAACTCCCCCAAAACCACAAAATCAGCCCAAAATGACCCCAAAAAACCCAAAAATCATCCCAAACCATCCCAAAATACCCCTAAACACCCCCAAAACACCCCCAAAACCCCCTAAAACACCCCCAAAACCCCCAAATCAGCCCAAAACACCCCAAAAACACCCCCAAAACCCCCTAAAACACCCCCAAAACCCCAAAATCAGCCCAAAATGACCCAAAACCCCCCAAATTCACCCCAAAACCGCTCCCTTTAGGAGCTGGAGCTCCTGGATGCCTTCAACCCCAGCTCCAAACCCCCCTAAAACCCCCCCAAAACCCCCCAAAAACACCCCAAAACCCCCCAAAAACACCCCAACCCCCCTAAAAACACCCCAAAAACACCCCAAAAACCCCATAATCAGCCCAAAATGACCCCAAAACGCCCAAATTCACCCCAAAACCACTGCCCTTTAGGAGCTGGAGCTCCTTGATGCCTCCAACCCCAGCTCCAAACCCCCCTAAAACCCATCTAAAGCCCCCCCAAAACACCCCCAAAACACCCCAAAAACACCCCAAAAACCCCCTAAAACACCCCCAAAACCCCAAAATCAGCCCAAAATGACCCAAAACCCCCCAAATTCACCCCAAAACCGCTGCCCTTTAGGAGCTGGAGCTCCTGGATGCCTCCAACCCCAGCTCCAACCCCCCCTAAAACCCATCTAAAACCCCCCTAAAACACCCCAAAAAAAACCCAAAAACACCCAAAACCACCCCCAAAACCCCATAAAACCCCCAAATCAGCCCAAAATGACCCAAAAACGCCCAAATTCACCTCAAAACCGCTGCCTTCAGGAGCTGGAGCTCCTGGATGCCTCCAACCCCAGCTCCAAACCCCCCTAAAACCCATCTAAAGCCCCCTAAAACCCCCCCAAAACCCCCCAAAAACACCTCAAAAACCCCCAAATCAGCCCAAAATGACCCAAAAACGCCCAAATTCACCCCAAAACCGCTCCCCTTTAGGAGCTGGAGCTCCTTGATGCCTCCAACCCCAGCTCCAAACCCCTCTAAAACCCATCTAAAGCCCCCCCAAAACCCCCTAAAACCCCCCAAAAACCCCAAAATCAGCCCAAAATGACCCAAAAACGCCCAAATTCACCCCAAAACCGCTGCCTTCAGGAGCTGGAGCTCCTGGATGCCTCCAACCCCATCTTCAAGCTGCTGGGGCCGGTGCTGGTGAAGCAGGAGCTGGAGGAGGCCAAGGGCACGGTGGGGAAGCGCCTGGAGTACATCAATGGGGAGATGTGAGTGCGGGGATCTGTGGGGCGGGGTCTATGGGGAGGGGATCTATGGGGGGAACTATGGGGCGGGGATTTATGGGGGGGGTCTATGGGGTGGGGATCTATGGGGTGGGGATCTATGGGGGATCTATGGGGCAGGGATCTATGGGACGGGGATCTATGGGGCGGGGATCTATGGGGTGGGGATCTATGGGGGATCCATGGGGCGGGGATCTATGGGGCGGGGATCTATGGGGCGAGGATCCATGGGGGATCCATGGGGCGAGGATCCCGTTATCTGTGGGGTGACGACCCCGTTATCTATAGGGCGATGCCCCCGTTATCCATGGGTCTGACCCCGTTATCTATGGGTCTGCCCCCTATATCCATGGTTCTGCCCCCTTTATCCATGGTTCTGCCCCCTTTATCCATGGTTCTGCCCCCAATATCCATGGGGCTGCCCCCGATATCCATTGGTCTGCCCCCGATATCCATGGGGCTGCCCCCGATATCCATGGGTCTGCCCCCTGTATCCATGGTTCTGCCCCCGTTATCCATGGGTCTGACCCCGATATCCATGGGTCTGCCCCCTATATCCATGGTTCTGCCCCCGATATCCATTGGTCTGCCCCCGATATCCATGGGTCTGCCCCCGATATCCATGGGGCTGCCCCCGATATCCATGGGGCTGCCCCCGATATCCATGGGGCGATGACCCCGTTACCTATGGGTCTGCCCCCGATATCCATGGTTCTGCCCCCGATATCCATGGGGCTGCCCCCGATATCCATGGGTCTGCCCCCTGTATCCATGGTTCTGCCCCCTGTATCCATGGGTCTGCCCCCGATATCCATGGGTCTGCCCCCGATATCCATTGGTCTGCCCCCGATATCCATGGTTCTGCCCCCTGTATCCATGGGTCTGCCCCCGATATCCATGGGTCTGACCCCGTTATCCATGGGTGTGCCCCCGTTATCCATGGGTCTGCCCCCTGTATCCATGGGTCTGCCCCCGATATCCATTGGTCTGCCCCCTGTATCCATGGGTCTGCCCCCGATATCCATTGGTCTGCCCCCTGTATCCATGGGTCTGCCCCCGATATCCATGGGTCTGCCCCCGATATCCATGGGTCTGACCCCGTTATCCATGGGTGTGCCCCCGTTATCCATTGGTCTGCCCCCTGTATCCATGGGTCTGCCCCCGATATCCATGGGTCTGCCCCCGATATCCATGGGTCTGACCCCGTTATCCATGGGTGTGCCCCCGTTATCCATTGGTCTGCCCCCTGTATCCATGGGGCTGCCCCCGATATCCATGGGTCTGCCCCCTGTATCCATGGGTCTGCCCCGTGTCCCCCGCAGCCGCCGCTACGAGCAGCAGATGCAGGACCTGGAGCGCCGCTCGGAGCAGCACCGGGACGCGCTGGGGCGGCTGCAGCAGGAGCTGCAGCGGGGACAGGGCAAGGCCTGAAAGGGGGGGGGGGGGGCCCCATGGGGCTGCCCCTATAGGGCCCAGCCCCCCCCACCCCCCCCATGGGGATTGGATCCCATCCCCCCCCTCCCCCCCCCCGCTGCTCCTTTAATAAAGGGTTCAAGGTGATCCATGGGGGGTGAGGAGTTGGGGTGTGCGTGGTATCCCATAATAACCCCATACCCCATAATAACCCCATATCCCATAATAACCCCATGTCGTGATATCCCATAATAACCCCATATCGTGATACCCCATAATAACCCCATATCGTGATATCCCATAATAACCCCATATCCCATAATAACCCCATGTCCCATAATAACCCCATATCTTGATACCCCATAATAACCCCATATCCTGATACCCCATAATAACCCCATATCCCATAATAACCCCATACTCCATAATATCCCCATGTCGTGATATCCCATAATAACCCCATATCCCATAATAACCCCATATCCTGATACCCCATAATAACCCCATATCGTGATATCCCATAATAACCCCATACCCTGATACCCCATAATAACCCCATATCCCATAATAACCCCATACTCCATAATATCCCCATGTCGTGATATCCCATAATAACCCCATATCCCATAATAACCCCATATCCCATAATAACCCCATGTCCTGATACCCCATAATAACCCCATACCCCATAACCCCATATCCTGATACCCCATAATAACCCCATATCCCATACCCTATATCCCCATATCCCGTATCCAAACCCTATATCCCATATCCCATACCCCATATCCCGATATCCCATAACTTATATCCTGATATCCCATGCCCTATATCCCCATACCCCGTATCACAATATCCCACACCCCATATCCTATATCCCATACCCCGTATCACAATATCCCACACCCCATATCCTATATCCCATACCCCATATCGCAATATCCCACACCCTATATCCCCATATCCCATACCCCATGTGCTATACCCCATATTCCATACCCCATATCGCGATATCCCATATCCCGATACCCCATACCCTGATATCCCATAACCTATATCTCATACCCCATATCCCAATATCCCATACCCCATATCCCATACCCCGCACCCCCTATCCCGATACCCCACACCCTATATCCCATACCCCATATCCCGATATCCCATACCCCGCACCCCCTATCGCGATATCCCACACCCTTTATCCCATACCCCATATCCCAATATCCCATACCCCATATCCCGATATCCCATACCTCATATCCCATACCCCACACCCCCTATCACAGTATCCCACACCCTATATCCCGATACCCTATATCCTGATATCCCATACCCCATATCGCGATATCCCACACCCCATATCCCATACCCTATATCCCCATACCCCACACCCCATATCCCCATACCCCCTATCCCCATATTCCATACTCCACATCCCCTATCGCGATATCCCACACCCTATATCCCCATACCCCACACCCCCTATCTCCATACCCCACACCCCATATCCCACACTCTATACCCCATATCGCGATATCCCACACCCTATATCCCATATCCCATACCCCACACCCCCTATCCCCATGTCCCACACCCCATATCCCATACCCCACATCCCCTATCGCGATATCCCACACCCTATATCCCCATATCCCATACCCCACATCCCTTATCGTGATACCCCATACCCCACATCCCCTATTGTGATATCCCACACCCTATATCCCCATACCCCACACCCCCTATCCCCATATCCTGTACCCCATATCCTGACATCCCACACCCCATATCCCGATACCCCACACCCCCTATTGCAATATCCCACACTCTATATTCCATACCCCATATCACGATATTTGACACCCTATATCCCGATATCCCATACCCCATATCCCGATACCCCACATCCCCTATCGTGATATCCCATACCCCATATCCCATACCCCACACCCCCTATCGCGATATCCCACACTCTATATCCCATACCCCATATCGTGATATCCGACGCCCTATATCCCGATGTCCCATACCCCATATCCCGATATCCCATATCCCCTATTGCGATATCCCACACCCTATATCCTGCACCCCCATATCCCATATCCTGTATCCCATATCCCATATCCCATATCCCATATTGCGATACCCCATACCCCATATCGCGATATCCCACACCCCATATCCCATACCCCATACTGCAATACCCCATATCGCGATATCCCATACTGTGATATCCCATACCCCATATCGCGATATCCCATACCCCATATACCATGCCCCCTATCGCGATATCCCGTACCCCATATCCCATACCCCCTATCGTGATATCCCGTACCCCATACCCCCGTATCCCGATACCCCGCACACCCTATATCCCATATCCCACACCCCCTATCGCGATATCCCACACCCCATATCCCATAACCCCATACCCCACACCCCCTATCGCGATATCCCACACCCTATATCCCATACCCCACACCCCCTATCCCCATATCCCACACCCCCTATTGCGGTATCGTGATACCCCACACCCCCTATCGCGATATCCCACACCCCATATCCCATACCCCATATCGCGATACCCCACACCCCCTATCGCAATATCCCACACCCCCTATCGCGATATCC